ATATTAATTTATATTTAAATATTTTAATTATTAATTATTATATTATATTTTAATTACACTGACAAGGACAAATCTTCTACAATCTTAAAATATTTATTACATATAATAATTTTAAATTTGGGTAAGACGAGAAAATGATACAGTTCATAAATTTTTTTTTTAAAGGATAAAAAAATGACACAGAAATTAAGACCTTTGTTTGAGGGAGTGAATTTTGTTTTATTTCTCAAAAATAATTTTCAAAGCTGATATTAGGTTTCAATAAATATTAAAAGCTAATTTAGGTTATATTTGGTATAACCGGTAGAAAGTTCTTTTAGACTCTAAAAACTTCAGTTGTACCAAACACTATAATTTGTAAAAAATGTTTTATTTTCTTATAAATTAGTATTTTATTCATTTCATTACAAATTTTAAAATCATCGAATTAGTTTTTTTCTTTTGACCACTAGGAAATTGGAAGATGGTGAAATAGTTACATTGTTACTATATAGGCAGCTTGAACTCTTGATAAAGAAACCAAGGGTGTAGGTGCACTGTCATCGTGGCTAAGATAGCAAGTGCACCAAATTAGGATTTTTACATAAACTTTTTATTTGAGTTTAATGAAATTAATATATCATTTTTATTTATTTTTTATTTTTTTATTTACCAAAACGACAGAACTTTTATTAAAAATTCCACCCCCACCAGACAGGCATTTACTGACCACGCGGCGAAGTATGAAATGGTTTGCGGGTCATTGACGGCAAATTATGAGACATGGAAAGTCTGAATCAACAACGGCATTCAACTTCAAAACTCAATTCTTTCAAGGCACTCTCCTGGAAAATCATTCCCCAACCCCAACCTACATTTCCATGTCTCCTTGAAACATCGTGTATGACCCACCAGCTTATTGTTATGATTATCTTACAATGGTAGGGTAGTCAATGCACAAAGCCTTAAGGCGAGTATTTAATTTTCTTGAAAGTACTATATTAGTTTAAGAATGTGTGTTTTTTTTTTTTTTTTTATATCTTGGTTGCACAATGAGAAAAAATCATATCTCATTTCTTATTCTATCTCATCCGTATGTTATACGACTCGAACTCATAATTTTTTATTTTTAATGAAAAAAAAATAACTATTAAATTATTTAAATTGTTGACGCGTTTTAAAAATTATTAAGATAAAGATATACTTATAAACTAATTTTGTAACATTTTAATTGTTTTTTTTAAAAAAAAAAAAAACCAATGGTGGCGAGGTGTTATCAATCTCTTCTCTCACAGAAGGTTCTACCAAAGTCCCTCTTATCTGCTTTGCTTTAGCTTCTTTGATAACATTATTGCGTTGGAACTTATCTTGAAATCAAAGACACATAACACTAATCATTTTACTTTTCTCCTTTTAGGTGGTTGCCATTCTTGTCTTCTTCTAATTTCACTTTTAATTTGTTGTTGTTGTTGGTGGTGGTTTCTTTAATGGCAATGATGGATTATGGTGAATTCTTAAAATTACATGTTACAGTCATTTGATTGATTGTCAAATTATTTGGTGAGTATGTTGTAAATCATTTATTACCATATGAATTGTGAAAAATTAAAAATTATATATTTTTTATTGATATATCTGATAATGAATTATACAGCAAAATATACTTTAATTTTTCAAAATATTTCCGTACTATTTCAATGTTTAAACTCTCATTATTACATTTTTAAGGGATACATAAACATAATCCATGATAATCTCTCATTTCAACATTCTCTAAATCCTCTTGATTTGTATCAGGTCTCACAGCCACTTGATAGATACCTCCAATATTTTGACAATAACCAAATGGGAATGTTATAATTTTCTATTTCCTACCCCAAATTGTACCTGTGTAAAAAAAGACGAAAAAAAAAAAAGGGACTCTTGAGTCTTGACCCGAGTACCTTGACCTTTGATTTGGTCTCCATCCAGAGTGTAATTCACTAATTTAGTTAGATTCCGACTATACTCCACATTGGCCCAGGGCCCTAGTTGCAGCTTTGGACTGACTGATAGTGATACGGGTTAAAATCACTGAATCAGAACCAACATTCTAGCCGTTGGCCCACAATTTCCAGAAGACAAACCATTTTTAAGGCCCAAAAAGAGTTGCTACTAGTCCTACACCATGCCACATACAAATTTTTTTTTTTAATTTTAAATTACAAAATAAAAAACAATTTTCTTCTATCTTTAACTCACCTTAAATACACCTACAAGCCTACAAGATTTTTACATGGCCGTAATAAAGGCAAAATCTTATGTTAAGGCGAAACTTGTTTTGGATTCCTAATTAAATCTTTAAATTTTTATTGAAGTAAATAAGTTTATAAATTTAATAATCTAAATAATTTAACCATCTTTTTTTATGATAAACTTAATATCTATTTGTGTCATCAATGATTTAAATAATTTAGTGATTATCTTTTTTTTGTTGAAAATAAGAAATCTCGAATTCAAATCGTATAGCATGCGAGTGAGATAGAATAAAGGGTGAAGAGATTGTCTCTTATTATGTAATTAAAATAAAAAACCAAAATTTGTTTGTATCTTATTCATATAAATAAAGTATTAATATGTTATTTTTTATGTGGTGGCTATTAACATTATTCACGTAAAAGTAAAACATGAATAGGTATCAAATCTATCATGAAAGGATTAAATTATTCAAGTTGTTAAGTTTAAAGATTTATTTATTTTAATAAAAATTTAAAAAGTCAATAAAAAATTGAAGGTAAATTTAGAAGTTTAATACAAGATTTTGCCCTTAATAAATGTGTGTGCAGCGATTGCCTATCCAGCCAGTGCACACTAGAGTAATGTCTAATATAGACAGACGGGCCGAGAAGGGCAGATTTCTTATGGGCCCAAATCGATTTTAAACCCCTTTTTTTTTTGCACAACACCTTGCAAGCTCTCTGTCCAATAGTCCAAACACCATTCTGGGCCTAACTAAACGGATCACACCCGCCACGTGTCAGATTTATCAAGGTCGCAGACTTCATACAAAACGACAAAAAGCGTTCGAGACGAATATTCTCTACTTCCACCTCCACGGAACAACACCAAACGCAACAAATCAAATCCATCCACGTCATCACTGAGGACATACACGTCATTTCACTAGCCAAAAATGTCTACCTAAGACGTCGTGGCAGATTTCTATTGGGCAATAAAAACGCATCAGCCAATATTAATCCGGTGTTTCGCCCCCACCGCAGAAAATGAAGCCCAGAAGTAGGGTTTAATACTACCACTTCCCTGTCTCTACTTTTCTCTCTTTCGCGGAAGCCGTAAAGCTCTCTGCTTTTGAACGGAAACCTCTCTCGTCGGAAAGCCCATAATCAGGAACATATACATATTTCCGGAGAGGATAAGAATTTCGCCGACACGGTTATTTTCTCCTAATGGGTGAATTGATAAGCAGCGCGGAAGCTAGAATCCCGGAGGTTGAAGGATGTTCGGATCCTGCGAATGAATCCTCATCTCCAACAGCTTCTATCTTTCAGAGGAAGATCGAGTTCCATCCGGCTAGAAAGCCCTCTAATGGGTTTAGCAATGCTCAACGTGGGGATTTTAAAATCGAGACGCTAAACCCTGGGCCAGATCCGAAACGGCTGCCCGGAGCTGGTATGGCTCAGGCCAGCACCGGAAGGAGGAAGGTTGATGGGTCTGATTTTTTGAAAGCTGGCTTGGATCCTGAGCTCAGTTTTAGGATGACTTTTCGTAAAATTGTGAGTCCCTGTTTAGTCGGTGATGAATTGGTTTTTGCTAATCTTTTTGAAAAAAAAAATTTACTTATTCCGGAGTCCTTGGATTGAAAAAAGCTGTGATTTTCAGCTTCTTTTCTCTTTTGCCTCATGATGATTTCTGGGTTCTTTCAAGTTTTGGTTTTTGTTTCAAGTCCATTTTTGTGATTTGGGTGCAGCTTAGAAGCATTGTATGAGCCTATGACGGTCATCTGCCAATCTACTTTTATTTTAATCGAGCTTTTGGCCTGCTATGCTAGCTAACTTGATTGAGCTTGCATTCGAACCTTTATGCTTATACTATAGCAGCATTAGCACATTCTTTCCTCTGATAATATATGGGATTCGATTAAAATTTTTGATTAAATGTACCTTGGGTTTCTTTCAAATTCTTTTTAGTTTTTTTGTTTGATTTAAACGGATTCTGTTGGTAGCATGATGTTCTTTGAGGGGTATTACAGAAGGCAATTTTGAGCTAAGCAAGTAGGCTTGGTTCTGCAATGAAAGGTCGCAAAGTTGCAAGAGCATAGCATAGCTTGGATCAGCTTATCATCATTGCAAGTCTTTTAGCCATAAGAGTTTTAAACTCCCAAGTGCCAGAAGTCTATACTCGCTCAATAAAGCCTAACTTAGCCTCCTACCCTTTCTATCCATGTTGTTTGTCTATACATGCCTATGTCTGTTCCCACCGTGGGATCAATTTGAATCAATTTATTTTGGTTTAGTCCTGTTTTCCTTCAGTTTTTTCGGTTTGGCTTCTTCATTTACTTGGGGATTTCTTGCCTATTTGTCTGCACACTGTTAATCATCTGATTTTGAGAGTGGATTTTGAAAGCATTCAGGTTCTTGTTTCTGTTATAATTAGGTTTTACTTACATGTCATATCTTTTTTCTCAATTTCTTAATCACTTATTGAACCTAAAAGCTATTTAAACTTTATTTTCTTGTTTTTTTCTACTTTACTTGTCTTCAGTTTTGTTATTTCTGGTAGTTCTGATGTGTGGTTTCTGGATGCTGAGCTCCACTGAAATTGGAGTCTCTCAAAGTTGTTATTGAACTTATATATAAACTTATGTATAGGTTCCCTTTGGTTTCTTGTGATCTCAAGGCTTCCTCTTTGGTTGGCACATTTTATTTTACATTGACTTTGCAAGTAATCTGACTACCCAGCTGGCATGACTGGTATCCAGGGTGCTGGTTTGGAAAATCTTGGAAACACTTGTTTTCTCAATTCGGTATTGCAGTGTCTAACATACACTGAGCCTTTAGCAGCTTATCTTCAAAGTGGCAAGCATCAGAATTCTTGTGAGTTGAACCATCCTCTTCTGTTCACCATTTTGATCCTGTAAAAATTAAATATAAATGTTTATTTGTTAATCTGCATGCATAATGTGCTCATATGGACGGTAAAGGATTTTGCTTCTAATTCTCATGTTTCTATGGTTCATGAAGGCCGTATTGCTGGATTTTGCGTATTGTGTGCCATCCAAAAGCATGTTAGCCGTGCCCTACAATCAACTGGGAGAATATTGGCCCCAAAAGATTTAGTCTCAAACCTGCGGTGTATCCTTTCCTCTTTTAATTATTAGGCAGATTAGTTTGAATTTGTTTTAGTTTCATCATCATCAGATAAAATAGGAGTAATGGCACTGATGTGAGAATTAGTTCATAAAATGTTCATGAGAAAGATGAGTTTATGCTTGTGCTTCTAACTTTCTGCTGATTAGTTTATTTCATATTACCTATCTTGAAGTCTGTAATTCTTGACCACATTGTTAGGCATATCCCGAAACTTTCGAAATTGTAGACAGGAAGATGCTCATGAATACATGGTAAACTTGTTGGAGTCAATGCATAAATGTTGCCTACCATCAGGAGTGCCAAGTGAATCCCCCACTGCCTATGAGAAGAGTTTGGTTCACAAAATTTTTGGTGGTCGCCTCCGCAGTCAGGTAGAATTTTCTTGCTTCTAGCCAGTGTGAAGGAAACTTTTTGTGTGAAGAATTATTCAATAACTTTGAAGCTTCAGATCAAAGTCTTTGATAGTTTCTCCACATATTCTGTGATTTTTAAACTAAGGAATAATACAGTTTTCAGATTTATATTTCATTTCTTCTTATATGTAACTTTTATTATGTTATAATTGTTTTTTTTTTTTTTCTTAACTTCTTCAGGTGAAATGCCTGCAATGTTCTCACTGCTCCAACACCTATGATCCCTTCCTAGATTTAAGTCTGGAAATATTCAAGGCAGATTCCCTGCACAAAGCACTTGCTAATTTTACTGCTCAGGAATTGTTGGATAGTGGGGAGAGGCAATATCAATGTCAACGCTGCAAGCAGAAAGTCAGGGCTCGCAAACAGCTCACAGTTGACAAGGCACCTTATGTACTTACCATCCATCTAAAGCGTTTTCGTGCACATGATCCTGGTCAGAAGATTGATAAGAAAGTTCATTTCGGTCCCACTTTAGATATGAAACCTTTTGTCAGTGGTTCCTATGTGAGTAGAATTACTTTGCTTATTCGATGTGTTGTTTTGCTCAAATTCATAAACTGGAAGCTTATGTGAATCCTAATTTTTAACTTAATCAGATTCTTACAACTAAGTTTCTTGTGTTTAGCAGGAAGGAGATCTGAAGTACACACTTTATGGTGTTCTTGTTCATTATGGATTGAGCACCCATTCTGGTCACTATTATTGCTATGTTCGTACATCAGGTGGCATGTGGTACTCCCTTGATGACAACAGGGTACTTCCAACAGCTCTTTTCCCTAAGTTATTTCTAGTTTTTGGAAAATACTCTCCTATTTATTACATAGCGATGCTGTCCATCCTTTTGCTCTCTTTGTAGGTAAAAGGAAAATTGCAAAAAGTAAGTTATATTAGCCCTTGTGGTTTTGCATGTCAACGAGATCCCATTTGATAATTAAAATTGAGGGTAACTGATCTTTACTAGTCATAAGTGATGTTTGTGTTCAGAACTTGCAGTGCCATTTAGATTATGCAAAAAGCAAGGGCTGTTCAAACAGATCATTAGGAGAATGCATCTGTTGTTTCTTGGTGCTTGCCCCACGCCACTAATATCATGGATTTGTGTCTTAGATGAAATTAAGGATTGGAGGGGGTTCAGAAGAATAAATAATATTATGTAGAAGATCCTCTATTAGATGGCTTCCTTTGATCTTGTGGTACAAGTTTTCTTATTTGCTTTGTAATTTGGTGTAACAGGTTTTCCAAGTCAGTGAAAGGGCAGTTTTAGAACAGAAGGCTTACATGTTATTTTATGTTCGTGATAGAACAAACATGGTTCCAAGGAAACCTGTTGATATTGTTCAAAAAGAGAACTCAAGGGCAACTCTTGGTGGAAATAAAATATGTTCAACTTTCAACCAGAATCCTAAGGAACACGTACAAAATGGTCAGAATGAAAATATACATGACCCAGGTTCTGCTGCTTTGAATCAAAAGGAAATGGTTAGTGTTGGTGAGTTGAAGAGGACACATGCAAAAGACGAAGCTTCATCTCAGCAGAATGATGGTCAGGTTGTGACCAATTGCTCCACACCTATACAGAAGAACCCCTCACAAGCACAATCTCCTGTGAAACCAATTAATGAAAACCGGGATCTAGCAGCTCTAAGTGCAAAAAGGAATGATGGCACTTCTGGTGCTAAAGTCAGTGACTGCAATGAGATAAGAAGGTTTGATAGAGATTTTGGAGTCTCTGTCAACAAATCATCCAATTCTAGCACTTGCCAAACAATAGCCACTAATAAGATTGTGGAAGAAGGGACCTCACATAAGGTAACCAGATGCTTCATTCCCAAATGCCAGACTCTATATCCATCTTTTTCCTGGCATGGGTGCCACTTTCTATGTTGCTAATTTCTAGATTGATTTTTTTTCCCACTAGATGAATCTTGTTTCAGATGTTGGGGATTCAAGTATTGTACCATCTGGAGATTCTAGTGATAAGGCAGATGGGATTCAAGATAAAGCTTCATCTGGTGATTCTAGTGACAAAATATTTGAGAAAGCTGATGCAGTAAAGTGTCCAATGAAGAAGCCATGCTGTGAGAAGAATCAGGTACTCATCTATGCCTTTTTTCCAACTGTTTCAGTAACATCTTTAGATTGAATTTTGACCTTTTACTTCCCTGTTAACTTTCCAGGCCAGAGAGGCCTCTAATGATAATGGTACAGATAATTCACCAAGTGAAAAGGGACATGATAATGATGAAAAGATGGCAGAATTGTCAACCATTTCTGGCATACCAAATGGATTTTTAGAGATTAGAGCTACAGATTGTGCATCCCAAAGAAAATCAAAGAGGAAGCTTCTGAGGTGTCAAGTTAAAGGCCTTCATCATATCGGTTTAAAATTTTTCAGGGGATCCTTAGGCCTACGCAAGAAAAAACACAAAAGGAGTAAACACCACAAGTTCGATAGGCTTAACCTTTCTACTGAACTTTTACTGGATAAGGATTGTTTATCAACAGATCTAGGGCCTTCCACATCTGAGAAATCCAGCAGAATTACCTTTGCTTCCTCTAGTTCCAGGAGGAAAAAGGCAGCTAATAATACTGATAAGATGAATGTTGGAAATGTAAATGTTTGTTCTGTGATGACTGCTATAGAGAGAGAATTCAAAGAGAGGATTTGTCAGAATGGATCTGTTCTTGCAACTGATCAGCAGGTGAAGAGTTCTGATTCAATTTCAGAAGCACACCTGCATCATGCTAGACAAACTTATTGTCCAAAAAATAGCAAACTGGATGCATCACAGGCCAGGATGATACAGCTGCCTTCACAAGGTCTCGATGAGACACCTGGTGCGTACCCTAAAACATCTATTCCAGCTTTGATTATGTATATGAACTGTTTTGGGAATAATTTTGTCCTGTCATACCTGCTCCTCCTGAGATTGAATTTTTAATGCCTCCTATTACAGCAAGGCGGATTCAATCCTTGGTTAATTTCTAAGGCCAGATGATTTAAGAGTCTATTTTCCCCAGAATATCCACTATGATTTAATGCAGAAGCTAGTTCTAGGTTTTTCCTTTTCCACACTTGTGTTGGAGGCCAATTCAAGATGGTCCATTCTGAAAATCCAAGCTACTAACCTGTCTCTTCTGATATCCATGGTTAGAAAAAGTGAATCCAGGGTCTGAAAAGCCCAATGGAATCCTTCCGCTCAGATACATCTTATGGTTGCCTAATGCTGGACATTCTTGGTCTAGAATGCTGCTTACCTTTCACATCCTGTTGTAGGCTGTACGAAGCTACTGTTTCCCTTAAAGTGAATTAGATCTCCAAAAGCACTTGCTTAGATTGGAGAAAACCCCCTATACCATGCTAATTAACCCTCTCTTTTGCACATAATTGGGGACTCCTGCCATTATTTCCCCAAATGTTTTGGCTCAGCATGTTAAGTGGTATTCATTGGCTTGATTTTGCTTGCTGCAGTTGGTCGATGGGATGACTTGGACATGCCTACTCCAACTTTGGAAACAGACAGTTCTGTGGGTATCACCATTGGTTACATAGGAGATGAATGGTAATTTGAAATACCCTTTTCCTTTCCCTCATTTAGTATTATACTCAGGTGAAGATTCTGTTGATATTTTAAAAATGCATATCTAGACAGCCTAGGGGAGGTTGTTTTGACTAGCTTCACCTTGCTTAGAACATATGGTATTTTTCATGTTAATTTCTATAGGGATGAAGAATATGACCAGGGTAAGAGGAAAAAACTAAGGCGCCATAGGCACGAGTTTGGTGGACGAAATCCTTTCCAAGAAGTTGCCTCCAGGAAATTACATTTTAAGAATGCAAGGAGGGCATTTAAGAAGACAAAGAAACATCGTTCAAGCTCTTTCAGGATATGAAGCCATCCATTACACTAGAGCAATTTTGACCTGTCTGCCTACTACCTTAATGTTTGTGCTATCTGGCTGAAGTTGTAACCAGTGATAGCTCTATGGGAAAAACCCAAAATTTAGACGATTTGATATAATTTTCTTCTCTCTTTCTCTTTCTGTAATTTTCGATTTTAGGATTTGTTAACTAGGGAAAGAGAGACATTGACACTATTGGTGTAATAGCTTATGTTAAGATTATTTGTGATCTTAATAAGACTGAAGTATCCAAGATTGAAGATATTTAAGTTTGCAGTTCAATTAGTAAGATGCATGTTCTCTACTCCTTCGATTTTTTGGCACATGCTTATTCTCTAATCTCTAAGAAATGGGTTTGCTGGCCATGAGTGGATCTTACCCCCCTCCCCAGGGAAAAAAAAGTGATAAAAAGAAATGGGTTCAAACCACCCTCAAGTCTGAAGAAACAAACAGAATGATAAATATTATCTTAAACATATTTTTTAAGGTATGGTATGGTTATGCCTGACACAGCCGCACAGGGCTCGAACCCAACTGAAACACGGAATCTAACCCTTAATTTCTGATTTCAAACTAGATTAAAACACAAACCTAATCATTTCCAAATGTGACAACACTTGTTGTTGGAAAATTTGACCATAATTTCCCATTATGATTCAGATTAAGCACACTATTCCCCTAATGATTTAAACCCCAGTATGATCTGGAATTTGCATTTGATGGATAACTTTACCTCTCCTTTTTATTAGTTATGCTGCTGCCATTAAACAAGCACTATCACAAGTTCACAACCCAATTCTTGCAATAGTTGGGTTCCAGAATTGTTGTGTACAGTGTTGCCTCATTTTAGGCTAATTCCTGTATTCCAGTGTCCTCTAATATTTTCCTTAATTGAAATACACTTCATTATGGAACTAGATTCCATATATAAAACAGTAAAATTTAAAAAAAATGATTTGAAGTTTAATTTGTGCAAATTGGCCTCTTATAACTATTAAGGAGTGACGAGCTTCCTGAATGAAAAGTGCTTTCCCTCCATTAGTGATGACTGAACTGCAAAACTGCTTTCATATATTGGAAAAATATGGAAGAAGAAGAGGAAAGAGCCCGCTTGGAAAACAAGCTTGTTGTTGGAGGCATGATGCCTCAATACCTTCTTCTTCTTCTTTTTTTTTTAATAATTAAGATTTATTACTATTTATTAGATAAAAAATAATTTTTTTAATAAATATAAATAAATTTTTATTATTAAAAAAATTAAAATTTTATACAAATGTGATGTAAAAATAGATTTTTACTCAATTAATATATGTCGGTTGATTTCTTCTCATTCATCTTCCTCAATCAATGCAACTCATTAACTTTGCCTCCTCCTCCCTCACTTTTACTGTCAGATCTTGTCCTTCTCTCTCAATGTTAATTTGTTTCTCACAAGAGAACATTGTTTTCTTAATTTAGATTAACAAAAATATATCATTTTAAGTATCTAAGTTTCGTGACTTGATAATTATTTGTTTAATTATAAGATATATTTTTTAATTTTAAAGTTGGGTTCAAATCTTCCTCTTCAAAAAATATAACATGTTCAATATATGTATATCATTGGAAACAAAAATTGATAAAAATACTATTTTTTCAATATTTTTAAATTAAAAATATAAAAAGTTTTATCAATTTAGACAAATAAAAATTTTTTTGATTGACATAAACTTAAGGAAATGTAGAATACATTGTAGTATTATTGGATAATGGATTTGTAGTCCATATAACGTACATTAGGTGTTGAAAGTAATATTCTTTTATGATAATTAGAAAATCATAATTTTGAGCACTCAAAAAGTACATAACCAAGTTGGAGAAGAAAGCAGGGTTGTGTGGTCCAAATGACCTCAATGATTAAACCCATTTTCAGCTACAAAATCTAAATCATCAGTTGAAGTAGGACTTCGGTGACATCTAAAATTCTTATCACATTTTCAAAGTGAACTACGAGGTAATTACGTAGTAAGTATCATTTTGATCCAATGTGTAGTGAAATTACATAAAATTTTATGAAATTCATTTGTTAAGATTCTTATGATAGTTTTAGCAGCGTTTGCTTTAGAGTAGAGGAAAAATGCACGAAAATGAAATACATTGAGTGAGATGTCCCACCAAGATGCGGATGGCTGGTTCCATCAATGACATCCCATCCCCAGTTGTATGAGGTTGGTCCCATCATACATGTAGTTTGTCAAGCAGAGACATGGACGTTGATGATACTCAATTCGCAAAGGAAATAAAGAAGTGGACGAAATGCACTTCTTTCCATTGGTTGAAGTCAACAAATCCAACTGCCCAACCCACTAGCTCTCTTAGAGTCAATCTCCTGTTCCATTGAATTTCCATTCGTTAAAGAATGACATTCATATTGTTCTGCAATTGAATTAACAGGAATTAAGTTTCAGTTAGAGTAAATTGTTCTTTTGTGAGTATGAAGAATTAAAATTTTACATTGAAAATTTTATAAAATTAATGGACTAATTTTTTTATTTTAAAATAGTATTAAAATATATAATTGACTACCAAATGTCATTGTCTCTTTAATGGTTTTAAAGGTATACCCATTTATCCTATATACTTTTGATCCAAAACCCAGTTGATGAATATGTCTCTTATGATTTGTTGTTTATTTTCCAGGTTATTATCTAAAAATTCTGAATGCAGAATGGTTAAAATCCCAATTGAAGGGAAGTGAAACAAATCTTGAAAAACTCCTTTGGATAAAAAAATGTGTAGTAGTAATCACCAAATCAGACTGTTAGAATAGTTCAAGGTAAAACTTTTGAAAGGAAATTAAGAGAAAAGGAAACCCCCTTTTCCCATTCCATTTTGTAAAAAAATTCACTTTACATTTTTCTTCAAGCAAAAAGAGGAGCCCATTTTAGTCAGAAAAAGAGATGAAAACAACCCCCATTAGTGTGGAAAAAATCATGATCAACCGTATGAGGAATCATTGAATTCCCACCAACAAAGCACAGGAAAATAATAGTCACAAACCCAGAATTGATATTTTGTTTTCTGTAGCACTGCTAGTGTTTTGTGGAGTAGTAGCATATTATTGAATATATTTTGGCATTTATGAACCCCAACTCCGCTTTAACTACAAACTGTTTTTTAGCCAGCCTATGTACCCTTGCCGCTGTGTCTCACTATCCTCATTCATACTCTTCTTCTTAATGCTTGGTATTATCTTTATTACTAAAAGATAAAAGTGATTTTCCATGTTCTGCACAGGGACAAAAATGCTTCTTCACTTGGGTTGTTTGGTTTGTTGGTTTTCATAGAGACCCGGAGAGCCAGACAAGGTAGACTCACATTCTCTATTGGAGACCTCAATTGCTTCATACCCTTCAAAAATTTTGTTCTTTTCTTTTGTGAGTCCAGTTTGTTGGTTTCTTACAGTATCCTTTTGAGATTTCTGAGCATCATAGTGGTTGTCTTGGAGGGGTTTTAGGTTTTAGCCCAATAGCCACCTTGTTTCCGTGCTCCAAAACTACCCAGCAGCTGTTATTGATGGCGGCGGTGGCGGTGGTGGTGGTACTGGCATTAATGGTGTTGCAGAACTAGAAATTTCAATCTTCTATTAAAGAAGGCTTTGAGGTGGTTGAAGCGTTTGGTTCACAATTCAGTTTTATTCTCTCTGTTCATCAATTGTCAACCTTGTCTCCCAAATGGGTTTTAGTTTCTTTGGTTTTGTGATCATTCTATCACTGTTCTTCAAGCATTTGGCTTGTCAACAGCCTAACACAGATGAGTTTTTTGTCTCTGAGTTCTTGAAGAAAATGGGTTTAGCCTCTTCTCAAAATTACAACTTTTCTGGTGATGATGTTTGTTCATGGCATGGTGTGTTCTGTGATGCCCAGAAAGAGCATGTTACTAGTTTACTGGCTTCAGGCTTAGGCCTCTCCGGTGCCATTCCAGAAATCACTATTGGAAAGCTAACTCATCTTCAATCTTTGGATCTCAGCAACAACAAAATCACAGCTTTGCCTTCAGATTTTTGGAGTTTGGGTTCACTCAAGAGTCTCAATCTGTCATGCAACCAGATTTCTGGGTCTCTTTCCAACAACATTGACAATTTTGGTTTGCTTGAAACCGTTGATCTCTCCAGCAACAATTTCTCCTCGGAAATTCCGGCAGCTATCAGTTCACTCAAGGCATTGAAAGTTCTTAAACTTGATAGAAATGGATTTCAAGGGAGTATCCCATCAGGAATTCTGAATTGCCAATCATTGGTTTCACTCGATCTCTCTTCAAACCAGTTATCTGGGTCTTTGCCACATGGCTTTGGTGCAGCATTTCCTAAGCTGAAAAGCTTGAACCTTGCAGCAAATAAGATCCCTGGCCGGGGCACAGATTTCGCAGGAATGGAATCTGTTTCAACCTTGAACATTTCCGGAAATCTGTTCCAAGGTTCAGTGATGGGTCTGTTCCAGGGGATGTTGCAGGTGATTGACCTGAGCAATAACGAGTTTCACGGTCACATTTCTCAGGTACCATCAAATTCTACCTTCAATTGGTCTCATTTGGCTTTTCTAGACTTGTCTGAGAATCAACTTAGTGGAGAAATGTTCCAAATTTTGAATCAAGCTCAGAATCTTAAGCATCTTAATCTTGCATGCAATAGATTTACTAGACAGAAATTTCCACCAGTTGAACTGCCCATGGGTTTAGAGTATCTTAATTTGTCCAAAACTAGACTCATTGGCCGTATACCTAGTGAAGTCTCTAAACTGAGCAATTTGCATTCTCTTGATCTTTCGGTCAACAACCTTACTGGTCCAATTCCATCTTTGAGTGTCAAAAACCTTGATGTTGTTGATGTTTCACACAACAATTTGAGTGGACAAATCCCAGCTTCTCTCTTACAAAGACTCCAGTCCATGGAGAGGTTCAATTTCTCTTACAACAACTTGACCCTATGTGCTTCGTGGTTATCCCTCAAGACCTTACAATCAGCATTCTTTGGTTCCCAAAACAGCTGTCCAATTGCTGCTCAGCCAGTACTTTTTAGAAGAAGAGCCAACAAACACAAGCTGTTAGCTCTTGCTCTGGCTTTAACCTTCTCAATGATCTGCTTGCTTGCTGGGCTGCTATTTCTAGCCTTTGGTTGCAGGAGGAGATCCAGAACTTGGGTTGTAAAGCAACCTTCATACAAAGAAGAACAATCTGTTTCAGGTCCATTTTCCTTCCAAACTGATTCAACCACATGGGTAGCTGATGTTAAGCAAGCAAACTCAGTCCCAGTAGTGATATTTGAGAAACCATTGCTCAATATCACATTTGCAGACCTCTTGTCTGCAACTTCAAATTTTGATCGGGGCACTCTTCTTGCGGAAGGAAAATTTGGTCCTGTTTATAGAGGATTCTTGCCTGGTGGAATTCATGTAGCAGTTAAAGTATTAGTCCATGGATCAACATTGACAGACCAAGAAGCTGCAAAAGAGCTTGAGTATCTTGGTAGAATAAAACACCCAAATCTTGTTCCTTTGACTGGATATTGCTTGGCTGGGGATCAAAGGATTGCTATTTATGATTACATGGAGAATGGTAATTTGCAGAACTTGCTACATGACTTGCCCCTTGGTGTTCAGGCTACTGAGGACTGGAGCACTGATACCTGGGAAGAAGATAACGATGCGATTCAAAATGTTGGCTCTGAAGGGTTGTTGACAACTTGGAGATTTCGACATAAAATAGCACTTGGCACAGCAAGAGCACTGGCGTTTCTCCATCATGGTTGCTTCCCTTCCATAATTCACAGGGATGTTAAGGCTAGCAGTGTCTATCTTGACTTAAATTTGGAGCCAAGACTATCTGACTTTGGATTGGCAAAGATTTTTGGAACTGGTTTAGATGATGAAATTGCTCGAGGGTCACCTGGGTATATGGCACCTGAGTTTTCTCAGCCTGAGTGTGACTCGCCAACACCTAAATCAGATGTTTATTGCTTTGGAGTTGTTCTGTTTGAGCTAATCACTGGGAAGAAGCCAATTGGGGATGATTACCCTGATGAGAAAGAAGCAACTTTGGTGAGTTGGGTCAGAGGACTGATAAGGAAGAACCAAGGATCAAGAGCTATTGATCCTAAAATCCGTGACACAGGACCAGATGACCAAATGGAGGAAGCCCTCAAGATTGGTTATCTCTGCACAGCTGACCTTCCCTCCAAACGACCAAGCATGCAGCAGATTGTTGGACTTCTCAAAGATATTGAACCAAAAGCTCATCAATGAAAAACAAAATCAAGTTGGTCCTTCTGCCTTTTTTCTTCTCTGAAATCTGTTCCCCCCCTCTTTCATTTTTTGTGTTTTGAGTGCTATGCTATCATGGGAAGAAATGTACAGTAGTGGTTAAATTATGTTTCTATGCACTGATGTCTTTCTTTTCAACCTTTCCATTGTTGATGGCATCAAGTGTTAGCTTATATAACACGAGTTCGATCTTTAAAGATAATTTTCTTGTCTGCTAGATACTCATCGAGTCTTGTCTTTATTGCAAGTCACGCTTTTATTTCTCAGATGTTGAAGCAAATTCCATTTTTTGGTGTAGCAAGATGCTCGTGCTTTACTTTATTCACTTGTATGCAGTGGAAGTGGATGCAGTGGTAGTTGGGAGCACCTTAACTGGCTGAGAGCACCATGGACCACTAGTTCATCATTAACGTTAGTGTAGTTTTATCTGGAAAGAACAATGGAAGAGCTTGCTTGTTACATTTTTGGCCTTAACAGCGGTGATTATGGTTAAAATCATAAAATATGCAAAGGAGCAGAGGTGTGACTATGACAGATTCCCACCATAATGTAATCATACAGCTTGCTAAAGTTAATAATTTAACATTGGGTGCATGTTAATGATGATCTTCAAATGGGGGTGAATGCCAACCTCATGATTGAAGGGTTCTGCGCCTTTTTCCAAATATAAAATGGTAAGGTCGTATTGATGCTGATTCTCAATGGGTGGCTAACATGTTCTGTGATGGAAAACTTGTCATGTGTTGGAAGATGATAAAAAAAAGAATGCCCTCCCTCTGTTTAAATTATTCAGCAACATACCTCCTGGAAAAGGGCCTGTTTATACTTTACATTGCAATGCTTAGATTTAATCTTTAAAATTAAGGAAAATGATTTATTCACAACATTTATTAATGATAGCCATATGCTATCTACTCAACATAGATACCACTTCCACAACAGATTATTGTATTATTAACTAATTATTTCCTTAAAAAATAAGAACAGAAGAATTAAGGTCGTTGACTCCATATGGAACAGCATCATGTATTAAACTGTAAAAAAAATAAAAAAATAAAAGTAAAACTTTTGAAGCTGAGCTGCTGAAGGTGGTCCAGTTGCAGGGTAAGAAGGTGTACTGTAGGTATACGTTAAAGATGGAAAATACGACAGTCCACAGGCTTTCCATTTAAGGTTCATATGATAAAAGTCCAGAAGAAAATTTGAAGACTGTATACTTGCGTAAGGGTGCAGACTGCACACTGCTGAATCCTTTTGGGCTTCAGATTTGTGGGGGAGTGTGTCTTCAATCAGGTAAAGCTGTAAAACTGCAAATTCAGTTTCTGTTCCCAACCCCCTCCCCACACCCAAAAATGAAAAGAAAAGAACAGGTAAGAGAGACTCACAGGTGTGAGTCTGGGTCACCGACCAGTGTCTTCAGTCAGGAAAATATACTTAACATAAAATTGGACAACAATATGCCTAATTTATACTCTGTTTATTTTTAGTAAGTTTTAAATTAATTTTTTGGCTCTTTATATATAAATTTTTGATAAAAATTTAATATATTATATAAATAA